GAAGGGATCGGCAGGGTGGGGTGTGCCACATTTTGAGCGCAGCAGTGGCACGTGTGCACCAGCCTGTACGTGTGATTGTAGTGCCTTGTAGGGAGCGCTCTTGGGCACCTCCTCTTTGATTGTCTACTTGAGCACACATGGGCTCGTCGAGCGTTCAACCGCCGAGCCAACATCCCGCAAGCTGCAACGTGTGACTGCTGCTGCTGCAGCTGCTTCTCCCCCACAATTGTTGTCCACCTCCATCCCGCGCCCGCCACTCTCAGGGGAGTCCTACGCAGGCATCTATGGTGGGGGGGACGCAGCTTGGGCTCGGGATCGCCTGTGGCGTTTTGGAATGGGTTATGGGCTGCACTCACAAGTATCACGCGAGTGTGAGGCATGTGTGTGTGTGTGTGTGTGTGTGTGTGTGTGTGTGTGTGTGCACACGCGCGCCCATGGATACGCTTGGAGATGCACGTGGGTCCATGTACGCGGGCACTTTGGCATACATCTGGAAAATCGCAAGCGCAAACCCATTTGCGTTGCATCCACACGAGGCTTCTCACCCGCGTGCTGCCGCGTCCCGCCAGTGCCCAACGCTGTGAGGGCCGTGGTGGAGGGCAACAGGAAGGGACACAAGCCGTACATCAACATACAGGTGCGGCCCAAGAGCAGTGCGGGCCCGGGCACCACCTGGGCCCCGGGGTTCAGCCGCGCGACTGGCCGTGCAGGCGCAAATCCGGGCACGCTTGCGGCGCGGCAGCAGAGCCACCCGCCCGGTGCCGCCTAGTTCTTCACTTGCTGTTTCCCTCTGTTCCCCTGGAATGCTGCTCTGTATGTTTTCTTGGATCAGATTTGGACGCTTGCGCCGGGCGGTTGCCGTCCTGACTGCCGTGCGGCATCTGGCGGTCACACTCTCATCCTTCGCTCAACACCCCCCCCCCTCCGACTGGAGGACCCACTCTTCCTAAGCCCCTCCAACCCTCACCCGCACCCCTCCTCAGGGCTACATGGTGGGCAACGGCTGCACCGACGAGGAGTACGACGGCAACGCACTGCCACCGTTCGCAGTCGGCAAATCGCTCATCAGCCAGGTGTGTGTGTGCTTGCCGGGGAGGTGGGTCCCCTTGATGAAGATCAGGGGACAGCATGATGCGAGGTTGCTGGAGGGGCGCGTCTGCAGGCACCGCATCGCACGGGCTGCATCAGGCACACAGGAGCAAAGGGCGCGGGGGGCAGCACGGCCTGCACCTCGCCGAATGCTGCATCCTAGCATCAGCGCGTATGTCGCCCACGTTGAGGCTGTCACCTGGGGTCGCTCGGTCAAAAGTGCGCTCCAGTCCACACCTCTGCTTCCTGCCAACCTGCCGCACATTGCGTGACGTCAGCACATGTACGCGCGGCTCGACCGCGCCTGCGACGGCAGCTTCTACGACGCCAAGTCGGACGGCAGCTGCGCGCAGAGGCTGCAGGACGCACGGGTGGGCGGGCGGGGCCCCTCCGACGCCGTTTTCGGCGTGATTGCCGGGGTTTTGGGACTGATTGCGGCTGAAGTGATTGCAACAGGCGGAGCAGATTGCAGAGCGTTGTGCTATCTTTTTGTTGATGCTTTCTGCTGCTGACGTCATCATGGCGGCGTCCCACCCTTCTCTTCATTTCGCGTACAAAATATTGATGATGCGTGCCACCAGGAGGAGCTGGCGGGGCTCAACGTGTACAACGTGCTGGAGGGTGGGGCTGGGGGCACTGGGGCAGGGCTCTGGGGGCGGGGGACGATTCGGCCTGGTCTGGAAGAACGGGGTGCACCCCGGCGCCCGTGGCCTCTCCGCCCCATCACATGACAAAGCTGCCGCCAGATGCACACATGACGTTCTCATCAACCCACCTCACCCCGTGCCATCCGACCCCATCCCGCACTCTGTACCCCAACCCCGCGACCACCAGAGTGCCACCACGGGCCCAAGATCCCGCCCTCCGCGCTCAACCCCGCCTCTGACGCGGCGGCCCCAACCCCCGCGGGCCCCGCCCAGCAGCGCCGCCTGCGCGAGGCGCAGCAGCTGCGGGAGCGCGTCGCCGCGCGCTACGGCGCCCTGATGCGCGGCCACCAGGGCTGGCCCGTGACGGGCGGCGTCAAGAAGGGCGTCGTGCGCAACTGGGCGCAGCTCATGGGCGGCCTCACCCACAACCCGCCCTGCACCGGTGAGGGCCTCTGGCGAGACGGGCCTCGTGCGACGCCCCAGATTTTTCCGCCCGACTGGTCACGCCCGGCGCGGCCTGTCGCCTGGGTCTGTCGCCGCAGCAGGTACTGCTGGGCGTGGGCCGCCCTCTCAACACGGTCAGCTCCCAATTACTGAACTTCGGGGTCTTTCTCTCCGACCCCAACCACAACCCCGACCAAGTCCCTCGACACCCACTCACGAATCCTGCTGCAGCACCCTGACACCCGCTCAACAATAAACACCCTCCGTAATCACTCTGCCTCAAAACACAACAACACCTCAAAACCCCAATCTGCCCTTTCAGATGCCAGTGAGGGTGACGTGTGGCTGAACGACCCCCGGGTACGCGAGGCCCTGCACGCCGCACCCATCGACGCGGCGGGGGCACCCTGGACGATCTGCAGGTGACACGGGGGGGCGCGGGGGGAGGAGGGCGCAAAAAAAGGGCGGCCACAGCAGGGGGAGGCGGGG